TTCAGGGACAGGTACGACCGTAGTGACCTCAGGGACAGGTACGACTTCAGGGACAGGTACGACAGACTTTGGGTGACGACGCTGATATATTTGAAGTGGGCGAGGAGTGGGGGGGTCAACCGTAGGGGTAACTAGTGGGTCAGGTTCCCTAGAATGATGGGGGATAATGACAGATGGGACTTCCGGAAGAGGTGTGGGAATACTTTCCTGTAGAGGTTCCGTAGTAACTTGGCTGGATTCGAAATATGGAACAGACTCGAAGAAGGTAACATCGGCGGATACGAGGTATCGTTGTAGAGTATGTGAGTAGCAACGATAACCTTTTTGGGATCGATGATAGCCAAGAAAGACACACTTTAGTGATCGAGCTGATAGTTTATCAAGACCAAGGGAGAGATTGTGTACAAAACACGTGGACCCGAAGACTCAAGGAGGAATTGGGTGGAGTGGAGAGTTTGGAAACAAGATTGAATGAGGGATTTTATTATTAAGGACAGATGATGGCATGCGATTTATGAGGTAACATGCCGTGAGCACTGCATCTCCCCAAAACCGGAGAGGAACATTACCATGGAGAAGTAGGGTTCGAGTGGTTTCTACGAGGTGCCGATTTTTGCGTTCGGCTACCCCGTTTTGTTGGGGTGTATGAGGGCAAGATGTTTGGTGCAAAATACCATTGGATGACATAAATGTTTGAAATTGTTGGGATAAATATTCACGTGCATTGTCACTTCTTAAGGTACGAATAGACAAAACAAATTGGGTTCTTATTTCTCGATAAAATTGTTCAAAAATGGAAAACAATTCAGATCTATTCTTCATTAAAAATAACCACGTGCAACGTGAAAAATCATCAATAAAGGTGACAAAATACCTAGACTCAAGAGTAGAGACAGTACGCGAGGGACCCCAAACATCGGTGTGAACTAAAGCAAAAGGGGACGAAGCTCGTTTGTTGACTCGACAGGGAAATTGACTACGAGTGTGTTTCCCTAATTGGCACGACTCACAATGTAAATTAGATACCTTCGATAAATTTGGCACCAACTTATGTAATTTGGAAAGACTGGGATGACCTAACTGAGCATGGATAGTGAGTGGAGAATCTTTGGTTGAGCATGTCTGAGATGACAATGAAAGGTAGTAAAGGCCTTGAGACTCATATCCGACGTCAATCGTCTTTCCCGAACTCCGATCCTGCAGGGTAACATTATTATTAGTGAAGGTGATACTACAATCAAGAGAACGAGTTAAACGACTGACTGAAAGTAAATTAAATGGACAATTAGGTACATAGAGGACAGAAGTAACAGATAGAGAAGGTAGAATTTGAACAGTACCAATCCCTTCGGATCGGGTTTGAGAACCATTGGCCGAAATTATAGTAGGTAAGAAACCAGAGGTAGAGAGGGAAGAGAACAAATTTTTATTACCAGTAACATGATCAGATGCACCAGAATCAAGGACCCAAGGTCGAAGAGGAGATGATTGAGAGAGGCAAACAGATAAATTACCAGTGTGTGCTACCTTAGCAGTAGAATCTGAGTTCTGATAATTCTGATACCACCTGAGGAAATCATCGTAGTTTGGCGTAAAGTTCTGAGGAGTAGCCATGAGTATCTGAAGAGAGAAAATATCACGTGATCGATCGCTGGCCGGACGTGCTGTCACGTGTGTTTCAGGTGGCGGCGCTTGATACCCACGCGCAGAGACGGAGGTGGCGCGTGTGGAGGTTTCTGCCGATGAAAAAGTTTGCCGGAAGGTCGTTGAGAATAGCAACGACGGCGGCAGCTATGCGGTTATGACCGGAGAATTTTGAAAAGTGAGGCAAATTGGAGTGACAACACGGTTTGCAAAAAAAAATTTAAAAATTTCTCACCGGAAGACAGTGGGTCAACCGGGTAAAGCACGGCGAAGAAAGATTTGCCTCTTAGCAGACTCTAGATACCATGTTGAAATATAAGAGACTAAGAGACATGAATAAACCGTGTGTTTTGAAAAGCACTACGGAGACATTATTATATATAAATAGAATACAAGTAATTACATGATATAGTCGATGTGGGACTATTCTATATACAAATATTCTCAACACTATATATATATATATATATATATATATATATATATATATATATATATATATATATATATATATATATATATATATATATATATATATATATATATATATATATATTTACACATATATATATATATATATATATATATATATATATATATATATATATATATATATATATATATATATATATATATTTATATATATATTTACACATATCAACAGTATCTACTGGAATTGACAATGTGAACTTGCTAGTCACCCAAGTCGAGTGCATACCATTTCAAATCACTTCACCGTGTAGGGCCAATTTTTTTCTCTGAACGAGCTGCAGAACCAAAAGCTGCTGCGGACAAATAGGGTGCATAGTTTCGCATGTTGTGGTCAGTATTGATGATCAGATATTACTGCAACTGACAGCACCGTGCCACAATATTGCTGATGTTGTTGAGAATTCCTGCACATTGTTGGAGCAGACAAAAAATCAAATATGATTATCATTTGACTACTGGATTTTAAGAAAACATGCTAGTGCAAAATCTCAGGCAAACTACATGATATGGATAACATTGACATATAAACTAATCTGGTCAGCAAGATATAAACCAGTGATAATTGTTGCCTATTCTAAATATATATTTATTCTAGAGCACTCCACTATTGCTCTAAGGTAGTCAGTTGTACATGTCAGTGAAATCTACTCTGTTAGACTTCATGGTTGCAACTATCATGTATCTAGAAACCAATTTTGCAGCCTTCCTTATGCTCTAATGAGAAGGGCCTTCAAATAAAAAACTCCACGCAGATATTTGGACAGTATCCCTCAAGATTCAAGGCCTATAAACATTATCATTAAGTGTTATGATTCACTCTGATAAAAGTTTATTTGCAAACAAATCATTAAACAACTATTTCCCGAACTACATGTATAGAAAAATAATTGTCTTTTAGGCCACTGATCATGTGAAAATAACAACTATGGTATTGTAGGCTGTAGCAACAACTTAGTTTCTGAAACAGGTCTAGGATCAAATATGTCATGAAGATGACTATGGTGTACAGAGTTACATCAATGTTGCTTACAAAAAAAAAAAAAAAAAAGAGGAAGAAGTCAGATTTCAGATGAAAGTAGCTCAAATAAAAACATGCAATTACGACTCATAAGTCATGAACAGAAAGTTGTAAAAAATAAAGAGCGACTTTTCAAACAGCACCTTCACATAAAAGCTGGAAAAAGTGTTTCTGGCACAAAAGTCACCCGAGGTTTGCTTAGTTTGAATGAATAGGAATAGCTTTAGAAATTGCAACAAATTGCAGCCTGTAAGAAAATACTGCTCCTTTTCAATTTTTATGAGCATGGATACTCTCTACTGCATCTAGTGCTCTGCGACAACGCAGTTTCCGCAAAATCAATATGACAGATAATTGCTGCGCAACATAGCTACTTCAACAATCATCTCCTTTTCTGAATCCTGTAATAAAACCAGGAGATGGGAATAAATTATAGTCGCACAGAAAAGTAAAGATAAATGAGTAATGTTAAAGGCTATCAAAGAGGAAATTTATACCTGAGATGCAACTGCTTCCATCTAGGTTCCAGCCACACAATCACCTTTTAGGCCCATGGTTGATCTGAAAATGTGCGAAAGAATAAAAATAACTCAAAAATATTCCACACAACACAATGACTAAGCCAACAAATCTGATAGAAGCCTATGTGAATATTGAAGTTAGCAAAATCTATTGATGACATAATGCGAATATTGAAAAAACAACGTATTTCAGTGACTCACCTAGAGACACCAAAAATTATGTGACCAAATTGTCTTTGATAACTATGGAGGGAATGTGAGCATCTTACGTTACTATTTCCCTCTCGCTTCCTCTGCAGACTAGCTTAAAATAACGAGTAGTCTGTGATACACTAAATTAATTTCGATAGTCCACAACATTAAGTTAGATTGAGCATCATCTTTAACAAACTCCTTCCCAACACAATTGATGTTAAAGATACTTGAACAGAGACTAGAGAAAATAATAACATATAAATCTACAGAAGAGAGAACGGGAACTTGTAAAATATAAACTGAGGGAGGGATGGCAAAACACACAATACTGACATAAAAGTAACTTAGACGAAATTTATACCTTAGATTCCACTGCTGCCATCTTGTTGCAAGCCAACAATCCCACTTGAAGCACCTGGCCAATCTGTAAACAGGAGAGAGATAAACAAATCGAAAATAAAAACTAAGCCACCAAATCTGGTTGACGAACTGGTGAACAACAAAACATCCAGTCTCAAAAATCAAAATGTAATTTAGAATCGAATAACTTTCTTAGGCATCTTTATCTTCCATACATGACAATCAAGGGTAGAAGGTTAATCACCTTAAAGAGCCTTTCTAAATGATCAAGATGAGGAAGAAATATCAAGTCAAGACAATTAGATAAACGCACAAAAAATGTGGAAATGCATAAATGGTATTCATTAGACTAACACATTAGAGATGAATTTAACTAGTGTTACAAAAGCTTGATAAAATCTTTACCCAAAAAGAGAAGCTTGACATAATATATACAGATTAAAATTAACTCATTATAATATATATATACATTCACATAAACAAAAAAGAGTACCTGACATATTTGTGGTGAGTTGTTTCTCCTTTTCATCTCTGCGACTGTGCCTGATCAGTAAGACATTTACTGGATTTGGTAGCAGTTTGGGTATGTAAATTTGGCTTTTCACAACAGCAGGAGTGACACATATTTGAATACTATGATTAAAAAAATGAGTTAGTGCTATAATATTGTATTTTGATGCTATTATTATTGAAATTGATATTAATTGATGATTACATAATAAGAAAGAAACAAAAAAGAAGCACTTTAGAGACTCACCTAGACATGAAACTTATGTGATCAATTCCTCATCGATAATTATGGCAGGAATGTGAGCAACCTTACGCCACTCCCTCCCCCGCTTCTTCCGCAAACTTGCTTCCAATAAAGGACAACGAGTCATACTTAGTACTGAAAGAGATGAAGGCAATCCTTTTTTTGGTAAAGTCTTAAGTTTGGGAGCATTAACAATCTCAAGATTTTGGAGAGAATTGATATGTTGAAGCCACTTCCCGTCAAAGCTTGTATCACTAAGACCACAGATGCATAGTGTCACAAGAGATGAAGGTAGAAATGGCCCCATCAGAGTGGTCACTGTATTATCATCGTTAATTCGCAACACTGAAAGACAAGTGAGATGCTCCCAAGTTGGCTTAGTATTCCACATAATCCCTCCAACAGAGCCAACTGTCAGTTCCTGCAAGCTGCTAGGTAAATCATCTATGACAAAAGACTGAAGATTTGGTAGATTATCAAATTCCATTTCTTGAAGGTTGGTTAGAGTGTGCATTGCTTCTGGTAATGAAGGAAGCTTCTCACACTTCCACACTGCGAAATAAACAAGGTTTGGAGTGGCCAATCCACCTGGGGGAAATGACTTCAATTCAGTACAATCCCATATTTTGATGCTTCTAAGAAATGAGAGACTCTTTAGTGACGCATCTTCTGCAATTAATATTGATTTCAGATTTTTACAACCCTCAATAAACAGACTCTTGAGAACAGGGAGAGCACCCAAGGTAAATGATGTCATTGAATTGCAGCTATAAGAAATTTTCAATTCCTCAAGCGATGTGTAATTGGACAAGTATTCATGAGGAAGGAACTCTAGATTTTCACAATTACTGATTATGAGAAATTTCAATGTTTTTGGTAGACCGTCTGTTGGAAAAAACATTGAAGATGGAATGCCGTCTATGGTCAGCTGTTTAAGTGAATTCAAAGGGAACATCAGTTGTCTGAATACATGATCAGATAATGGCATTGATTGCACCAGTAAAGGACATTCTCTTAACTCAAGTTCAGTTAAGGAAGGAAATTTGTCTGCTATGTTTCCTACTATCAGTTTCGGGCACTTACTAAGCGATAAAGTTTTTAGACTAGGAAACGTTGTTGTTGTACCTCCAATTAAGTCCCACTCCTCCCACTCTTGCATATTCTCAAAGTGTAGATTCTCCAAAGAGGGAAATGGTTGAAATGAAGAACCACCACTTCCATAGAACTCAATACCAATTGTCCCTACTGATTGCATCCCTTCAATAATGAGTTCTTTCAAATTACCTAATTGTCCAAGGGGCGGAAGCCATAAACAATCATCACAATTCGAGATTTTTAAATACACCATATTTCTATATAAAGAATCACCCAACCAATTTGGAAAGTTGATTCCACCATAGCCTTTGATGGTGATACTTTTCAAATTTGTTGAGGGTTGCAAATGATCAAGTATAACACTTTTAATTTGGGAATCTGGAAAAGTACTACCATAGTCCCATTCGAAAATTAATTTGTCTATTTGTTCTTTCATCTTTATATTGGCTTGATCTACTTCAGAGAGGTCATTAACATTGTGTAGTTGTGAGATGGAAAGTTTTCCATGTAGGTGGGGAAGTTTTCCTAGATCTGCAATATTCAATCCACCATTATGTTTGCTGACAACAAAGTCGGACAAAGTGTAGAGATTTTCTAGTTTGGCTATTTGTACGGTCATCTCCGTCAATGCAGTGTCACTGACGTCAAGGTGTCGCAGATTAACCAATTTTCCTATGTCCTCTGGCAATTCAGTTAATCTTTTACAACCCACCACCAACAAGAACTGCAGATTGTAAAGCTTGCATGTCTCAGAAGGCAAACTTTCAATCTTAGTGTGTGAAAGATTTAAGTATTGCAAGTATAACAAATTTCCAATAGAGTTGGGAACCTCGGCGATACTCTTGTAGTTTGACAAAGACAAGGCACGTAATTGTTTCATTGTTGGCACCAAGTCATGTACTACCTTGTTTGATAGCAAACAAAGAGGCAATTGTTCCTGTAATGGTAATGCTAGAAAGGTGCGTAGACTTTTTAATCCATACAACTTTTCAAATTTATCATGTGAGTCATACATCCCTCTATTGTATGATAAATTATGCACCATATCATGTAGGTTATGGTCATCCAAATTTATACAATATGGAGATGAAACCTCAGTAGCTAAATCATGAATGAGATCATGCATTTCAAAGGTTGCTTCCTCCTCACTAATAGATCGTCGGTGTATCAATGATCTTGACACTAGTACATCAAAATACTCTTCTCCAACTTTTTCCGGATCTGTAGACGAATCTACTAAGCCTTCTGCAATCCACAACTGAACGACCATATTTTTTTCTATGATGGACTTCTTTGGAAAAATTGAACAATATGCAAAGCATCGCTTTAAAGGAGTTGGAAGATAATTGTAGCTCAATTGTAGAAAAGGTTGCATGTCATGATCAGTCAATTCCCAAATGTTACTCTGTAGCACATAATTCCAATCATCCGGGGACAATTTGGTGCGAAGAAAATCCCCAAGCGCCACTGCAAGAAATGGTATACCGTAACATTTTTTTGCAATTTCTTTACCAATTTCTTCTAAATTGGACTGTTGTTGGTCTTTACATGCTCCAAATGCATTTCTAGCAAGTAAAAACCAGCAATCTTCACTTTTTAGAGGGCTCAAGTAATGAATTGAAAAAAAGGTTTCCATAGATGGTGAAATTCTTTCATCCCGTGTTGTGATGATGATCCTGCTTCCCATTTCCCCAACACTAAATATGTCCATCAGATGCGTCCAATTGACAGACTCCGCATCCCACACATTATCCAATACAAGCAAAAATAAGTTATCGCTAAGAATCTTTTTGAACATCAGTAATATAAGATTCGCGTAAAGGTTGTCGGGGTCATTTCTTTTTGTATTAGCAAATTCAATAACTTCCCGATTCACCTCATCATTCCTGATTGTTTCTGAAGTGATAGAATTAAGAATGGCTTCCAAAACCTTGAAAACAACAAAATCTTTCGAAACAACCGCCCACCCTCTCAGTCCGAATTTCTCCTTAACTTGTGGATCATTGTAAAGGAGTTTAGCAAGGGTTGTTTTACCAATCCCTCCCATACCAACAATAGAAATCCCTCTTATTTTCCTATCACCACCACTAGCATCTTCTTCAGACAGCAAAAAACTTCTAAGTTTGCTTATATCATTATCTCTTCCATAAATATCAGACTCTTCAACCACATCAGAATTTTCCGGATTTTCAAGCCAAACACCGCCGGAATTTGAAACACCTAATTTACCTTTCTGTCCACTTCCTGAACTCAATAAATCCAATCTTTCAATTAATTTTAGCAATTTAGACTTAATCGCTTTATTAAACCGTTTGAAAGGAGAATAAATAGCATTTTTGATAACCTGAGAAGGAGAAAGAGTTAGGGTTTTATACTCTGCTTCCACTTTGCGCCGCAATGCTTCGGTGTTGATTTCGTCAAACAGAGTTTCGAGTTCAAAGACAGCATAGCTCACCATATCGAACCATTCTTTGAAATCAGCATCGTCGTTAAGTAGAACTACGATCCTCGTCAATCTTCTCTTCAGTTTTGTCAAGAGTGAAACGTCGAGCTTCATCTTCCGGAAGTTTTCTACGAGTTCAGTTTTGTCGATGAGTTCAGTAGAACCAATCTTTTCTAACAAGAGCTTCACAGAATTTGAGAGTGTGAAGAGTTTTTCTCTCTGAAATTGAATAGAATCCATTAGTTTCTTAGTTTGTAAGAAGAAGAAAGAAATGTGAAGTGTGAATGAATGAATAACAAAACTCTTTCTGTTAACGTGTGAAAGTATGGAAGAAGAGACGGTTAAGTTAAGTAGGCTAACTAGTGGATAAGAAAAATCTCATCCTATTTCACTAAATTGCCGACTACCATATTTATATTAAACTAGTATTGTTTTTGTAAATGTTTATTAATATATTGATTTGAATTGGATTATCCGGTTTAAGGTTGAAAATGAGTCGAGTCGAGTCGAACTCACTTTAAATCGTCTCGATTCGTTAAGAATTGGTTTGAGTTCGAGTTTGATACGAACTTTTTTTTAAGCTCAAACTCGACTCATTATAAATTCACGAACAGTTCGGTTCAACTCATTAGGTTCATCTCATTAGATTCAGCTCACATGATTCACGGATTTAAAAATTATTTTTTTAAATATATATATATTTTAGTATATTTTACATTTTAAATAAATATATTTATTTTAGTAAAATATTAAAATAAAATAAAAGTTATAATATTGAAATTTAACTTTATCTTCGAAATCTATTAATTCAAAACCTACACAACTTTCAAGAGATACATTTGAGAGTCTAATTCAAAAACTACTAAATTGAAGATTAAATTTGGCTAAGATTTGCAGTAAATATTTAAACCTAATCTTAAAGATAGTATAATTCTTCTCATATATAATCGAATTGACTCATGAACCTAACGAGTCGAACTATGTATAGTTCAAGTTCAACTCATTTAGTTAACGAACTTAATTTTTCGCTCATATTCAACTCATTTAGTTCATTAACCTAGTTCAACGATTTAATTGTCGAATCGAATTCCAAACTATTTTCGAGTTGGTTCGATTCATTGTCAGCCCTAATCCGGTGTATTAAAAATAAATATACAAAAATATTTTTTAAACATAATTTATTTACACTAAAATATAAAAAGTAAATATTAAATACATGACACGCAAATTTTAAACAAACTATAGAGGAATCAATATGAACACAACATAGTTGCACCATAATCAATCTGAACACAACATGGTTGCATCACAAGTAGGGCTGGAAATGAGTCGAGTTGGGTCGAACTCACCTCAGCTCGGCTCGACTCGTTAAGAATTGTTCGAGTTCGAGTTCGAGTTCGACACGAACTTTTTTTTAAGCTCAAACTCGACTCGATATAGGTTCACGAACAGTTTGGTTCAACTCGTTAGGTTCATCTCATTAGGTTCAGCTCACATGATTCACGGACTTAAAAACTATTTTTTTTAATATATATATTTTAGTATATTTGACATTTTAAATAAATATATTTTTTAAAAATAAAATATTAAAATAAAATAAAAGTTATCATATTGAAATTTAACTTTATCTTCGAAATCTACTAATTCAAAACCTACACAACTTTCAAGAGATACGTTTGAGAGTCTAATTCAAAAACTACTAAATTGAAGATTAAATTTGTCTAAGATTTGGAGTAAATATTTAAACTTAATCTTAAAGACAGTATAATTCTTCTCATATGTAATCGAGTTGACTCATGAACCTAACGAGTCGAACTATGTATAGTTCAAGTTCAGCTCATTTAGTTAACGAACTTAATTTTTCGCTCATACTCAACTCATTTAGTTCATGAACCTAATTCAACGATTTAATTGTCGAATCGAATTCCGAACTATTTCCGAGTTGGTTCGGTTCATTGTCAGCCCTAATCACAAGACATCAAGTTGTTAATTGACCGATGCAATTATTTATCAACAAATACTGTTAATTTCTTTCCTCAAAATACGCTACTCATGAGTCGTGATAAGTTATGACCACTATAGTCATATAGCTATTGTATTACACTTAAATAAATATTTAATAACATAAAATTAGTTTTACAGCATACTCCATTCCATGGTATAAAATTGAAGGTTTGTGATTGTTGGAAAAAAGCAAACAAATCATAGAGAAAAAAATAAAAACAATCACAACACAAGAATATAACATGAAAACTCTAAAATCGGAAAGAAAAAAAATCATAGTTGTTGTCAATAGACAACAAGAGAATAATACTATGTGAGAATTGTTACAACACATAATATATTTTCAACTAACTCAAACCTTTGGCACAACCACGCCCTCTAAAACGTCTTGGATTCCATTTTCCTTCACAAAACTTGTATCCTATATATAATTTTGGACTCTTTCTTCATTCACAAAATTAAGGGATGTGAAACTTCTTCAACGTGTATATTTTCAACCAACCCCAACATTCTCCACCTTTATTAAAAATAATACATTGAAATTCATTGTCTACACCGACAATCATACTCCACCAAAACAACACTAGACAACATTCAACACCAACAAACAAACACCAAAACTGTAAAATTACAACATTTAGTAATAAGTTCACTACAACAAAAAAGGTATAATAAATATTTTAAAGGTTTAAATGCACTTTTGATACCCCTAGTTTCATGGTTTTTAACTTTTAGTTGCTTCATTTTAAAAACTAGTTTTTTGGTCTTTTAACTTTACCTCTTTTATGTATACACATAATCATTTTTTGATTGGGTAACCATCTAAATTAGGGTTAATAAGGTCTAATTAGGTTGATAATAATAATAAGATATTCACGTTATCCACTATTATTATTACCGAAATAATTCTAATAAATTATATACTTCTAATTATCCTCAACATCAACATTACTTCCCAACACAAATCATCAGACATCAAAATATTTCACCAATTCACCAAAAACCACGAATATTTATAATAAATCAATTAAATAAATATTCTAATTATTTTGGAGTGTTACATGGGGGTGGACCTGGACCAACAATGTTAACACTTTAAAGCTCAAGTCAGAAAGTAGTTTGAATCTGTTAATGAGAGGATATCTGAAATGGAAGGAGTTGGACTTTGTCTAGTGTTGGGGGTTAAAGTTGTCCTCATGTGATATAATGAATTACACAAAGGTTGTCCGGTTATATCTAATAATGGATATTTTTGGTTATGAGGATGAGCAAATGACCCTTCATATGCCCCAACAATCTTGTAAACCACTAGTTTAGCTTAGCATTTGATGGTTATTATGTTCATGTTGACAATGTCTATTCGTCAGAATGTTATGGCACATTAGAATGATGATTTTGGTGAATTTGAAGTTAAAATGTATCAAAAACTTAAAGGGAATGACTTATACGAATTGAGAAGAAAGAAGATTCCTACTACTTTGCAAAGAAAAAGAAAATCATGATGCAATCTTAAATGTTACTTAAATCTTATTTTGAAAAATTAACGATTAGGTTTCTACAATTAATGTATATCCAATTATACTTTTTAATACTTGAATGTAAAGTGATAATTATCTTCAACAATGTAAGTTAAATTTTCTTTGTTTTTTTGTAATTGAACTTCTCTGATTGGTCATCTGCATGGTAATAGTAATTTATATTTGTATGATCATCTGCATATGAATAGTACTGTATGATTGGAAGAGATGCATAAGTTTACTTTATTTATAAGCTTGAGTTCATTACAATAAAATAGTTCTAAAGGCTTCTTGTTCAAAGTCCTGTGCAAAAGAGCTGAGTGATTGTGATTCGAGTGATGACGAAGATGACAAAAAGAATGAGGATATGAGGCTGTTTGTGAAGCGATGCAATTGCTATGTAAAAAAAATGGTATCCAACATTCCAAAAAGAATCAAATCAATTTCATAAAACAATCAAGATCTTCTAAGAATGAAGACAACAAAGGAAGTAGAGTTACAGGATCGTGCTTCAATTGCGGAAAAGTCGGACATTACAAGCTGAATTGTCCTTTGATGAAAAAGGACAAAGGAAAGGAGAGGAATTGGTCACATAAGAAGTAAGTTAAGCCTAGAAGAGCTTACATCGCATGGGAAAGTGATAGCGAGTCATCCAAGGATGATAGTTCTAGTGACGAAGAAGAATCCGTCAACCTTTGTCTCTCCACTCATCAAAAGAAGAAAAACAAAAAGGTACAACATACAAAATACGAAAACTCTACTAGATTGTCTAATTCCGAATTAAAAACTGCCTTTGATACCTTACACCATGAAGCCAAGGAAACCTTTAAACAACTGCCCTCAAACAAACAAATTTTTGCTCACTTATAGCAAAAGATTCTCGATTCCGAAAGGAAATTAGAGGCTCTAAAGGCTTCCATTGTAACATCCTAATTTTCAATAATTAATTGATTTATTTGGATGATTTTAATTATTGGAATTATTGGTAGATATTTGAGTGAAGAAATATGATGGAAGGAAATAGAATAGAAAGACATATAAGGAAAAGTGGAAGGAAAAAGGAAATAATAGAAACATAAGAGAAACATAAGAGAAAGAGAAGAGAAAGAAAAAGGAAGAGGAGAAAAGAAAAGGAAAAGCTTGGAAAGCTCAAGAACAACTTCTAGCTTCGATTTAATCAAAGTAAGGGTGTGAAATATCATTATCTTGTCAATGTATATGATTATGTATGGATTGTTTGGATTGTTTGGATGTTTTTCTCCATTTTCCATTTTATGGCAGAAATGAGTTTAATCGATAGAATCGATATTTGAACGGTTAGAAGTTGGATTAAATGGTGTAGATTAGTCGAGGATTGTTAGACTAAGAATACTGGAAATCGTTGGAATTGAATCGGGTGATTTGGGAGCTTCTGATGAATTTTGGACAATTGGGGTTTTGAACATCGCAGACGTTCGCTAGCACCTTTGCTAGGCGAGCAGGTCGCGAGTGTTCGCTGTAGCAAGCTAGTAGCGAATGGTCCCAGACTTGGACATAATGTAATTGACCCTCTTCGCTGGTAGCGAGGGGTTCGCTAGGCGAAGCCCCAGCGAGTAGGTAGCGAAGCCTTACAATAGCTTCTATTTGCCTTTGCGAGCTTGTTTGCTATGCGAACAGGTAGCGAGTGTTCGCTAGGAACTCGCTAGGCGAGCAAGCTAGCGAGCGTGACAACATTCTCAA